TTTTTTAATCATGAGAATTTTTGTGTTATTAAGAAAACAGACTAAAGTATTTTGATGCAAAGATTACTTAAAATCTATATCAGAACATTTGAGATTTTAATTAAGTCTTGTTTCTCTTGCATCAATGGAAAACCATAAATTTACTTTATCCAAAATTTATTTATTTTTTTGCTATCCTCTGCCAGCCTCAATGATGGTGAAAGCATTACCTCGCTCCATCGTCAGTGGGACATACTGTAAGAGCCACTCCGTTTCACGTGGATCGTCCCTTAATCGAGACGCAGTCCAGCCAACCCTCCGCAAAAGAATATTTCACTATTTTTTTTTTATTTTTATTTTTTTTTTTATTTCCGAGTCCCGAGCGACAGACCCCGGCTCAACCGCGGACCTGACCAAATTACTGGTCGAAAATGTATCGGTACAGGTCGAATCCCAAATCAACGACTTTAAAAGGAAAATCCCCTTTAAAAGGAAAAATAGTAATCCCGCCCGGCCGCTTTCCATCATCAACAAGGTCGAGACCTAAGTTTGCGATTTGGGAAGGGAATAATTAATTAAAATAACTTCCAGATTAATACAAACGTGTGACGTCAATAACACGTCACTAGATTCCATAAATCTTAAAAAACACCAACTACCGTAATTCCCCCCCCATGTACAATACGCCTTCATCCATAATACGCACCCCAAAATTTGTGCTGAAAGTATACGGAAAATGCTTCTACTCCCGCATAATACGCACCCTTTGTTTGGTAATCAAACTTATAAATTGTACCTCTCCAATTTCATTACGGCCAGCGTTTCCTATTCTTATTTAAAAGAAATGCTTTTAAACAGAATAATATTATTCTAATTTAGTTTTATGATAATTCTTATTTTATTTTACGGCAACTTTTTAAAGATTTTTTGAACCTGTGAATAATACGCACCCCTGATTTTCCTTTTTTTTTTTTAAGAAAAAATGCGTATTATACATGGAGAATTACGGTAAGTTTCGTTTAGTTTGGTATAAAGTAAAAAAATGAAATAAAAAGGTGATTATATAACAAATTCCCCGGGAAAGAAAGTCACACTTCATTTATTTGTGTTTAATTGAGAAAGGACATTGGCGTGTTCGAAAATTAGAGTTTTAAAATCTTTCTTCCATTTCTAAAGTAAGATAAAAGGCCTAATATTTTTTTATTCAGTAGAGCTAGCTCGGACATTCACGAGTATCACACCAACCATCACGGTCGGAAAGACATTAGGATGGCATTCTGTGTCATAACATAGCTGATCAATGTAGGTGGTTGGTTGGTGAGAAACTAGTCTTGTTCCATGGTTAAATATCTAGAGCAGTAGACCACTCGCGTGTTCTTGTTTGTTAATGTCCAGCATTAATATTTCTTCATGAATATGAATTTTTTCATCGGCCTATATATATATATATATATATATATATATTCCGCGTCACCCAAGCCATGACAGCGTGCCTGACTCTACATGTAAAAATGGCAATTTTCGGATGACCACAACAATTTTTGTCTTTCACAAGCATGAACACTAAATACTTACTCTGTAATCACCAATACCCTGATGATGACGCTATGCTATGCTATGTCGAAAGTACTCAGAAATAAATACAATATGAGCCAACACGACTTAATAACAGCACAAAAAAAATCTTATCCGCGAGTATGAAAGGATCCTATCGAGAATAAGTATACAGAACATGTCTAAATTATTTAACGAAACTTGTCATATATATATATATATATATATTTCATCCAATAGAAGGCTCAAATGCCGCATGGTAAGTTACCGAGTGAGGTAATTTCATGGACGAAAGATGAAGTGCAGGTTATGAGGATATGTAGGATAGATAATAGTTGACCCTAGACTTGAAGAGATTAAGTTTGTTGTGACCGAGGGAGCATCCTCTCGGAAGTATTTTACACAAAGTATACGTTCGCGGGAAGAATCTGCCCGACTGGGACTTCCTCCTTACAAACGGAATAAGAAGAGAATAAGTAATATTCAACTCTGTATGCGTGGCATAGCGGGTCCTAGCTGTAAAGGTCTGAACTGAAAGAACCAAGGATGGTATCTCGTCTGAACATTTGCCTTGGGAATAGTTATGGATAAGAAAATGTTAGAATAGTTTTCCAAATAATGTCATCTGACTGTTCAAAATTCCACTAGTTCAATTCAAAAATCACTACTTTTACCTAGACGCGAACATCGACCGCCAGTAGCGGTGATAATTATCTCGTTTAAGTAAGCCAAAAAAGATACAGAACGGTCACTACATACAAATATAGAAACGAAAAGAAAATTTCTAGAGCCCAATATATATATATATATATATATATATATATATATATATATATACGAAAAGAAAAGTTCCGGAGCCCAGTTTATTAACCAAATTGTTACGTGAATAAATGATCATATACATATAAACATAGGTAATTCGTTCCAAATCCTATCAAAACAGAATGGTATTTTCGCTAACAGAATTCTTGCTACAACGTTATAGTAACAACCTGACTCATCCCTGAATAGAAATAGAATATTTATAGTAGATCCTGCATTGATTTTAGAGATTTGTTAAAAACAGAACTACACCAAACTTGAAATACAACTATAATGGGACCGCTGTCGAGGCTGAGCATGGAGACAACAGCTTTTTACTATTATTCCCTGGCAAAGTTAGATATTATGAAGGAATTATTTTCCCCCGAAGTACTCGTCGTAATTCTGATTTTAGTATTGGAAAGTTACCTTTCCCGCAGATATTATGGGATGAGATGGGTGCGAGCGAGTATATATCATTTATTCGAAAATTATAACAAAAATGTTATAAAATCACTACAAAAATAGCCATTTTGTTTCAACACTTCTGGTGTCTTATCAAGTGATGGTATTGAACACCATCGCTTGATAAGACACCATTCCATTTTGATTGCATGAAAAAACAAAACATATCAGAGACGCTACTTGGAGAAAGAGAGGGAAAGTGGGAGATGAAGAAGAGAGGGAGGAGGGAGAGATTTAATGTCTTGCGCCAGTACCTCATAAATAATAGATTACGTTTAGCATGCGTGCAAAAACAAAAATATCGTAGACACTACTTGATTTCAGTGAGTGAATGAATAAATGAATAAATAAATGAATGAAAAGAAAGAAAAAAAGAAATGGAAGATAAAAAGGCTTAACGCCTGTTTCAGTAAAATGGTAAAGTTGTCAATGACAAATTTTTTCATTTGTACCCCTCATCATTTCGTAAAATAACGACCAGCATTCATATTTATGATTGTTATTGCAATCTTTTGTCAAAGTTGTTAAGCTCAAATATTTAACAACATGATAGGGGAATTTCTATGGATGTTTTATTTTCGTAGATCCAATGGATCATGGAGCTTATTCAGTCATTAACTGAAGAATTAAGATTCACCAGAAATTTCAAATAGGAAAACCGTGACATTTTCACAGGTCTTTCTAGTTCTGTTAATTGCCATACTTTGTGAAAGGGTGGAGGAAATTGTGAAAATGGTTACCTGTTGCCTTCTTTACAGCTTCGAGTTTTTTTTATATTTGTTACCAGCCAAGGTTAGAGTCCAGTCTACCCGGATTTTTTTAAAGTCATAGCTAATCTTAGGAGAAGTGGGGGGGAGATGGATTCATACCTTTCACAGGGGGGGGGGAATTTGTGTATAATTGAATATAACGAACCTGACAGGAATTGGAACTTGGTTCCGAGCCATTATCCATTACACCACAAGCATACCGAAGCTTACAGCACCTGATATTACCAAGCGGTCACCCATCTTGGTACTGACCAGGTTCAACATTGCTTAACATCGTTCATCGTAAGGGATCCGGTGCATCAATGTCATGCAGCCGTAAGCTATTTTAAACTTTGGTATCACATTTTGGGATTGATTGTTTGTTTGTTTTTATCGCTTTTGATGTAATTTAAAGCCACCCCCGCGAAATAAAACATGTCCTACCGTTCGACCCATAGCTACCCACGACAGTCCTACCGTTCGACCCATAGCTACCCACGACAGTCCTACCGTTCGACCCATAGCTACTTACGTAAATTAAAAAAAAAAAAAACAACATGGGCACTTTTCAGTTATACGACTACATATAAATATAAGTGAGGAGTTGTGAAATGTTAAAGCAACTACATAGCTCATATTTGTTTTAATAATTAGTATTTATTTTCAAATTTGAATTATTTTATACTAACATCTACAACTGGCTTCTATAGAGGGTTAGGGCTAACTTCGGTGATCGTACGAGAACCGATGTTTCAACGTGATATGGCCGTAAACCCAGGATTATAGTCAACAAAATAGTAATAGTGAACTACTACGACAATAATTATATTTTCCTTACTATTGTGTGCCGGGTTCTTTCAGGAGGTAGTTGATTATGAATCTTCACAACTTCCTTCCCCTTGTAGTTCTAAACATCGTTTGACTCTTAATCATCTCTTTGTAACCCAGCTCTGCCATCAATTCATCCAAACTCATTAGGTAACTTACTCACCGTTCCGCACCCCCCCGCACCTTGCTTTTGTTTACCAGCTACCACTCTCTATTTATTAGTGTTTACTTGAAATTCAAGTTCTCATTTCCTTTCCCCCGGGATATAGGTAGGAGGTATCGAACCAGACACCTTCGCCTTGCTTGCACCACTCCCTCTTCACCCCGTTTTCATATCTCGGATTTTTTCCCCTCACGTTTTATCGATTTTACAATGCGCTTTACCGTCAACCAATCAAAGTCGTTGATCGACCTATCGATGAGCCGCCTCCATGCCACCTCTATAAACAAGCGTATGGGATTTCAATCTATATATCACTTGGATCGAAATTGCTGAACGGAAGAGAGGGAAAAAAGAAGGGATAGCGGGGAAAAAAAAGAAAAGAAAAAGATAGAGAGAAAAGAAAGAAAGGGGAAATTACTCCTCTGAATTCTATAAATTCATATCACTGGAATGCTTGGATGCGTAATTTCTAAGGCTAATTAATAAATAAAAAAAGGGCAGTATGCCTCGGATTTAAATCAGTATATAATTTTTATCCATTGACTGAGCCAAATTAAAAAAAAATCAGTATGCGTGTTGCAGCCAACTGCTACAGGTTTCTTTTCCTACACAATATATATATATATATATATACCTTTTCCGAGACAATGCAATGTGTAATGTTCTTTAAAATAATCACATACGGTTAGAGCTTTCACTCCGCCTTCTCCCCTCTTTTTACATCTGCTTCTGAGAAGACATGACGAACAGAAATAGCTCAGAGTTATTTGTAGGTGACCCAGAGTGCACGTCGGTGTGTCGTGCGCGAATGCCGACATGTTCGTCACTGACGATAAGTCAAAAAAAAAAAAAAAAAATTTATTTCTGTTGCAGAACATCGGGAAATCTGGAAAAACGTACAAATGAATCAGTTCTCTCTCTCTTTTCATATATGAGAGAGAGAGAGAGACAAAAATAATTTACTCACTACAAAAATACAACTTCGACTGGTGAGAACCAAAATGGTTATAAACACTTCTGTTTGTAAGCATATTTGTGGTGAGTAAATTGTTTTTGCCTATAGGCCCTATATGAAATAATTATAATAAATAACTATTGCTCTACTATCGGTGTTAAACCTTCTTTTGAATTAATGCTGTGAACGTTAGAATTTATATATTTTCGTTCTCATTACATTCGGAGAGATATATATTTAAGACGTTTCATAGTTTGATTTGAAAGACTGGTAAAAATCGATGGTGAAGCATTTCTGCAGATTGTTTTTATCTGCCTGTATTTATCCAACGCTAAGGAAGATAGAGAAATAAAAGTGTGCGATATAGGAATAACGACAAAAAGGAAGACTTCACTTGGCCGACGCGTTTCTTGCTTTTGTCTTCATTCATAGTCTTTTTACAGATATATTGTTATATCTGAAAGTCATCACACACACACACATATATATATATATTACACATAAGGAAATTCATGACCCTTGGGAAATCTTTCGCGTGACGAGTTTCATCCTTTAAGACTTTATCGGGCAAAAGGGGCAAAACGCGTCGCACGGAAATTTTTCTTTCCTCCCGCTGTCATTTATTTTCTTATTTTCTGTTGCGTACACACAATGAAAAGCCAACCTAACCCCAATAAGAAAGCGCATAAATTAATTTTTCACTTCATATAAAAAACAACAAAAACTGACAGACATTTGCTGATGTCTCCTGAGGAGTGGACCGAACGATTGCAAAATGGTTTGCCTACGAAACTACAGTAGAGGTGCTGAATCAGCTGAGTATTAACAAATATATATATATATATATTGTATATATATATATATATATATATATATATATATATATATATATATATATATATATATATATATATATATATATATATATATATATATATATATATATATATTAATATATGTCTTGTTCAGCAAGACATTCATTTCTGTAGTTTACTGCTACCAGCAAGCAGAAATATTTCTTCTCCCGATGATGGCCATTTTGGCCGAAACTAATCGAGGAATCTAAAAAAAAAAAAAAAAAAAAACAAGAATATTAATCAACAACCCAGTGTGTCTGAAGATTAATTTTTAATTTTTTTCTTGTTCAAATTAATATATATATATATATATATATATATATATATATATATATATATATATGTGTGTGTGTGAAAAGATTACTTAACTTTTAAACACCAATTTTTTTTCCTGACATTGGTGTTTCTTGGCAAAATTACCAGACTTCAGGGGTTGTCGTTTTAAACGGTATTTCCATTTTTTTTTTTTTTTTTAAGTTTTTCAATTTGTTCCACGTCTTTTTCAATCCTCCTTTTTCACTCTTGTTCACGTGCGTATTCATGAATTTTACGTTCATTTACACGTGCACGCTCATGAAATTTGACAGCTATAGATTTTTTTCTTACAATTATTATTAAAGTAACAAATTATATATAACATTAATAAATCAATTAAAGTTGTAATTTAATAATATAATTTAGTATTATAACATCTATATAAACCATAAAATTTATATTTATATATATTATATATAGTGTGTGTACGCGCCAAAGAGAGGGAGAATAGTGTAATGACGCATTTAAGTTTCCAGCCAAGAACTTCTTCACTTTTTATTCTAAGTCTTAAATGCTCCCATGCGGGTCAATGGAGAATTCTGGTACGTCTATCATCTGGAAACTTCCATAGTTGGCAGTGAGTCACCAGCTGTGATGTTTACACATTAATCAGTCAGCTTCTGGCCGACAGAGAGGAAGGGTGAAAGTTTCCGATGTTGATGCTGTAGAAAACGGATCGGACTGTGGTCAGAGGGGGGGGGGATTCGATATGGAAATATTTTGATTTAGAATCTAAAAATCTTTAACTTCGAAAAGACGATTGATGCCAACTGATTGTGCCGGGGCTATCACAGATTTTACAAGTACAAAAACGAGTAGTAAATATCAGAGCTTTTTGTCCAATTTCCAATCCATATACGTCGTTGCAGTTGGAACGATATGTCCGAAAGTGAGGATCGAACTCACTACTCGATCGTAGCGAGACAAGCTTGCTAACCATTGCACCGCGTCGAAGTGTCCAAAGTGTTATATCCAGTGGTGGCATCCTGGCAGTTTACGCGAACCGATTCTAAAATTGTAAAAGCTTAGCGAATCGGTTGCTGGATTATCCGAAAATAATCATATATATTAATAGCCAATGGTTTAGGTAAAAATGTTAGTTAAGCTCGTGCGCGCGCCTAGTGAAAAAAAAAAAATGTGGCAAATTTTCTAGTCGTAAATTTGACACGTCTTCCATTTGATCTTCGGGACAGCAGCTAAGAAAGCATAACACAGCTGATGTCACTAGAGTCAAAAAGCATCATTCTTCTGAACAGATATATAATGAGAACAAAATTTATAAAATTAGTTCCTGGGAATTTGGGATGCCATCATTATATATATATATATATATATATATATATATATATGCATGCGTGTGTGCAAAATTTCTTGATACAGCTAAAAATAAGAAAAGACGAATATGAAAAAAGACAAAAGGAAAACTTTTCTTTTCCTCCTCATTTTGTCCTCTGATGGACTTTATCAAGGCAACGATAAAGATTTTATTTTGCAAAGAAGTAAAATATTGCCAGTTTTTCAGTTGAAAAAAAATTAACATTTTTATTTCAGCTGTAAAACTAACAACATTGTTGCAAATTAAAAACCTTACATTTGTAACCCCCGGGTGCCTTAGTGACAAATTATCTTCTAGTGATAAATTTGATACATCTTCCATTGGATCTTCAGGACTGCAGCTAAGAAACCCTAACACAACTGATGACACTAAAGTCAAAAACAGAAATATGATGAAAACGAAATTTCAATCTGGAAATATCTTGATAAATAAATGTTTCCTATTAAATTATCAAAATGGTTTCATTCTTTTTTTTTTGATACGATCAAGTGATTTGTTTCCATTCTCAGATTGAAAAGAAAATAAGCAGAGTAGGTTCCTAAAAATTACCCGCCTTTATAGAACCGGTTCCTGGAAATTTGGGATGCCATTCTTGTTCTTAAGGAATAGATTCGAGTAAACTTACATACCTTATTATATGCATTTTTATTATATAAAAAAAGACTCCAATTTACAAACTTTGCTTAACACACACGTAAAAGTGAATCCAAAACAAAACTCGTAAAATTTCACACATTGATGCGAAATGCTTTTCGGCCAATAGAAAACTAGGAAACATTTAAAAACAAATAATCTTCAATTCTCAGAAACAAATACTTTTACGGACCTTTTCGCAAGCCGACGCGAAGTTTGTTCATCGTTCAATGGAAAGG